AAAAAAACAGAGGAAGTTTAGTGGGAGACAGAAACTGAAGCCCCATCGCCATGCATTGTTTTTTCGTCTGTTTTATAGTGAACATTGTCCTAATCTGAAATTTATTATTTAGGTAGTGCATAGACAACAGGGCCTCAAATAGGCAGATCTAGCTAGAGCTGTACAATTAATTAGCTGGAAATGAAATACTATAAATAAATGTTGCATTAAAGTGAGAGAAGGACCACAAGAGTCGTAAATTATAATATATGCCAATGTTACATTCACTATTTTATGCCATATTTTTTTTAGTCAAGCACTTGGGAAAAAATAAATAAATAAATAAATTTGTCACATATTGGCGTCCATATCACTTTTGATTTTCCGTGACCTCTTCCAATTTTAGCCTATATATTAAATAGTTGAGTAAAAAAATCTCATGAAAAATCAATTTTTGTATTTTAAGTTCCAAAATTACGGACAAAAACCTTTCAATAAAACAAAATAAACAAAACAATGGCTGGATCAAATGGACAAATTATATTTCGTGTTGTATAAACATATGCTTACCAAAAAAATAATTCAATGACTTCAAGAAGAAATTAAAGAGTATATATATATATATATATATATATATATATATGTAGATGGTGTTTGTATTTGGGGTTAACGAGATACCAGGGTTTAATGAGGCATTATTGCTTAGAATCCCAGAAAAGACCTCAATTGGAGTCATAAAATGGGTGGAGCCACGCCGAGTTGGAGCTCTTTCACTGCAAGACTTTATATCATTACACCACCCACCACCCTGCATATACATCATAATTCATATATATTCATCATAATTCATATAAATTGTTGCTTTTCAAAATAAATTTTGTTTTATTCCAATTGCCTCTCAAATTATGTAAGATTTCTCCCCTTTCTTTATACATATTTCTGCTTTTCAAAATAAAATTTGCTTCATTCCAATTTCCAGTTGTTTGTTAGACTTTGACTTACTTTTTGTCACACATTAGATTTGCAACAAAGATGTGTAAATTTTTTCGTCTCTTACAAGAAAATCATTATTTAAGGAGATCTTATTTTTGGTAATCTAACCTTATTTGTATTTTGTTCGTGAGATTAGTGAAGTTGGCGTTGCCCGGAGATGTAGGCAATATAGGTCGAACTCCATCATCAATTTGGTGGATGTAGAAAATATAGGCCAAACTCCATCATCAATTTGGTGTGTTTTTTCCTATCTCGTCATCTATTTTCTGTATTTATTAGGTTTACTTATTTTCGTTTGTAGTAGTTTTTGCTATGATGATGAAGCAATTACTTTGATTTGAGTACCATCATGACACATTGATGAATGACCATGTCACTGCATCCAATCAGTTGGCTGTGAATTTGTTGAAGTTGAACATCACATTTAGCGATGAAGATTTGACTCTAATGTTGTTATCATCTATTTCCAATGAGTTTGAGCACTTACAGACTAGTCTAGTTCATGAAAATGGCAATATAATTACTCTTGCTGTGGTCGATTCTGCTCTATATAGTTATGAGTTGAGGAAGAAGAAGAGATGAAGAATGCAAAAACAGCAGAAGACCGATTGTTGGTTGCAAGAAATCGGTCGAAGAGGCAAAAGAAGAATAGACGAGGAAGGTCACGTTTCAATACCATGACAAAGATGAATATGTTTTCTGCCATGAAAAGGGACACTGAAAGAAAGATTGTTCGAAGTTGAAGAAAAAAGACAAATTTCCAAGATGCACATATATTGCCGAAGAGTGGATGTGAAGAATCAAGTTTTCACTTGTGGTTTTACCTTCATCATCTCATCCAAAAGAATGGATTTCAAATTTTAGATGCACTTATCATGTGTCTCTCTTCTTCAATTTTGGGGAGATGACCTTAATTGCAAGAGAGTGGGCTAACTTCATTTCATACCAAGTTCGGATTACATCATNATAAAAAAAAAAAAAAAAAAAAAAATCTAATGTAGATATTAATTACCCTATAGACTTATCTATGGTTGTTACAAGCAAAATGAAAGGGGACATTTGATGGGTGAGTAGAGCCCAGAAACCACATAAGTTAATTAATGATAGAGTAAATTTTATACACATTGATCATTTTGTACGGTTTTCAGTTGATATATATATATATATACACAAGTGCTAATTAATGTTGGATGAAATTGCAATTGGAGCTAGGCAAGCTAAAATCCTGAGGATCATAACTAGTCAATTTGAGACAAAATGGGCTAGTTGGTTCACCCACATACTACAAGATATATCATAAATAGTTGACATTAAATAGTTGACATTAAAAAGATCAAATATAGAATACAGAATTAATTATATATGTAGCAATTAATACATGAAAGACCAAATATTGATGAGCCCACACAACCAGCTCACCCACTGATCATAGTTGTTTATTTACGATTTTGTTGTTATGTTGCATGTTATGTCGCCCAATCATTTAAGAAAAGTATAATTCATTCCTTCACTTTCTAAACACGTGATACCCTAATAAATAGAGTATCAGTAGGCCACTAGAAACATCAGTC